TTAAAAAACATAAATGATAAGGCAATAGTGGAGATAAAATCAAATCAAATCATGAAAAAATGCTCGTATATTTCAGACAGGAAGATTAAAAAGAAACAAAGAACAACAGGAAGACATATAAGGCAACTTACTGTTTAATATAATTATGTCAGTAATTACCTTACATGTCAATTATTTAAACCCATCAATTATAGACAGTCAGATTGTAATAACTAAATTAAGACCCAACTATAGACTAGCCTAGTTTATAACTTTGTACAAGGAATTATTTTCATGTAAAAATGCCTGCTTGGGCTAAGCTACCGGGAGTGGGGTTCGAACCCACGCGGATACGTATCCATTGGATCTTAAGTCCAACGCCTTAACCACTCGGCCATCCCGGTGACGGGAACACACCTTTGTGTTTAATATTACCAAGTTATGACTACGAAAACTTGCTAACACCTGAAAGATTATTAAAAAACTGGTGAAACCGTTTACTCCTTAGGCAGCAGAGAAGAACATTCGGCGCCCTGCACCTCCCCCCAGGGGGTCAAATGGAAGTAAACCCAACCTGCACTGGAAAGATGGCCCTTCGGTGATACGTACCCACTCCCCACAAAAGCTGAGGCTCTGGGAAACTGCTCTGGAGTAATTGGCTCACCTCAGGCACGGGAAAGATTGTCGGGGAACATTGTCTTTTCGAGCAGAAGTGCTCAGCGAGGAAAGCTGAGGACCAAGCTCCAATAGTAAAAGTTCATGTGTGTGATCCCTGTGGACTTCTTTCAAACTGTAGGAAGCTTGAAAAATCCGTCACAAGATATTAGCCCTTTTTATTCATTTACACTGAAGCCACAAGGTCTTTGGATGGAGACGGAAGTTGTCCTGTGCGTCTTGGAACAGTCGATTCTTCCCCACCCATTACGTTCAAGTTACATCTAAATTCCTGCTGTGGAGGGTCTCCCTGAGCCCCCTGCCCCGGCACACGTCATTTTACTTACTACTCTCAGTGGGATGAATTTTCACGAGGAAGAGGAAGGGAGGAAGACTAGCTCTGGTTCACACCCAGAATGGCAGCTCTCAGACCCGCTCCCGCGCGGGTGCAGCTCCGCCCCAGCATAGGCATCCGCTCTCCATTCTGCGGCCGGTCCTCCACCTCACGTTCAAGTCACATCACCTCCCCCAGCAAGTATTTTCCGACCGTCAACGCTGGAGGGGATGCCCCTATTTATTCTATGAGCAATCTCTGTGACTTTCATAGCTGTCATTCCACGCAGCAACCTCACTGTAATTAAGTCCCTAGGTACACACTTGTCATTATAATCAGCTTGGGGATCCCTTCCCTCCTTTAGGGCAGCCACCAGAATGGGGCAGGGCTTTTCAATAATTTCTTTAGAATTAACGTGAAACAGGATTGCTAAGAAAAGTTAACGCACGTAGACGTCAAGGGAACAGCCGTTTATCTTGCTGATCTAATCTGAAAACAAAACAAACAAACAAAATGTGGGCTAGAGACTGCTGAGGAGGCACCTACCTTCCCACTGCCCCAATATATGCACTAGGTCATGTCCAGCTGTCTCCGAGGGAGCCAGTCTGTGACCTTCAGAGGTCACTAGATTCTCATGGAGACTGGGGAAAGCGCCTTTTCTCCACTCAGAGCCTTCGGGGAGGGCGGAGGGGCAGCCTTAGAAACTAGTGGAAGGCAGGCGGCTTCGGTCTTCAGGAAGGACGGTGACTTGGGACAATGAAAATGAGGTGTTGAACCGAGAAGAGTCAGGTGAACCACAAAGGTCACCTTCCTGCTGTGAGACCTTACGGGACGTAAGACACGCGTGCACACGTCCCGAGCAGTGACACGAGACACGGAACAGAACAGAAGAGTGTGAGGCGCGTAGACCGACTCGCAGCCCCGGCCCGACCTCGCGGGCAGACCTGGTTCCAGTCTCCCTCCGCCCCAGGCCTTCTGCCTTTGCCCTTTGAGCTCGGTCCAGCTCCTAAAGGGTGATTACAATTGGGGAGATGGGGAGCAGGAAAATGAGCTCAGAACATACCAAGACATTTCTTGAAATGAAATTTCCCGGGCGCCCGAGTTCCCCAGCCCGGTGCTCATTCGGTCTCAGCACGCGCCGGGTGATCGACTCAGACAGCGGGGACCCCAAGGATCTGAGAGTGGAGGGAAAACAGAGTCTGAACAAAAACAGACAAAAGGCTGAGAGGATAAAGTCAAGGTGAATTATAACTTCTTTCTAAATGTAACGTGTGGGCACGGCCGTTTCCGTAGTGTAGTGGTTATCACGTTCGCCTAACACGCGAAAGGTCCCCGGTTCGAAACCGGGCGGGAACAATCTGTTACCTTTTCATATAAGTTCTGAGTTTTGTTCCAGAGAATTTCTATTTCAATCTGTTTACATTTCCACCAAGTCTGAAATATCCACCCCCCTTTGCAGTCCCCGAGTTTAAATTTTAAGAACTGTATAACAAGACCTTACCCGCCCAACAGGTAGCCTTGTACCCTGTCCATCCGGGTAGAGCAGACGCCGTGCCTGGCTGCGATGGCCGTCCTCAGGGGGCGGTCCCCATCCGCCCTGGGCAGGCAGGACAGAGAGTGAACAGCCCCAACACAGCAGTGTGGTTGATGTGTGCACGGGGGTCAAGAATACTGCACAGGATGAGCCTAGTGGGTGGAGGTAGCAGCGTGGAGGGGACAGAGTATATGGAGCCTCGTGAGGCCATTGTTTAAGGACTTTGGTCTTCATTCCAGTAAAACGAGACGTTAAGTTTTAACCACTGAAGAGACTCTATATTATTTAAGTTTTTAAATAGGGCCCACCATACGTAACTAATTACTTCTGGCTGAACTGATGCACGAAGATCAAAATGAAAAGCATCTTTTTTATTACTCATGTCTGTACTGCATACATTCCAGTGTCTTACCCCAACTCTGCCATCACTCATCCCACGATCATGACCCATCCCTCACCCTGCTCTTAACTCCATCTCTGCTATTCATCCCATCACTGAATTGAAAATATCTAAGATGGACTGAGAGGCGCCAAGATAAAACTGATATTTTTAATATACATTACTTGGATATTGAGAGAGAGAGAAAAAAAAGGGAGAGAGGGAGGGAGGGAGGGAGGGAGGAAAAAGAAAGATTGATTTTGCTTTTAGGCTAAAGTAAAATGTTGAGAACATAAACTAATCACAAACTTGGAAAAGATTGATTGTTCTGTAACCCTAACAATTAGCCACAAGAACACATTAAAAACCCATCTATAATTGATAACTGTCTTGTGAACATACATTGGGAAGACAACCAATCACTGTCAAACCTTGCCTCCTGACAGACAGCCAGGGCCCGACTAGCTCAGTTCAGTAAACAGCCTCTGAGTGCCAAACAACAGCATCTCTCCCAAACACCCGGGTTCTGTCAACCACTGGGTCTCCAAAAGCCCTGGATTCCCTAAGCACACTGCCCCCCTCCAAAACATCAGCCACCAGCTCTCTGGAAGGTACTGTGCCTTACCAACATTACTCTCTGCTTAAATGAGGTTTGACTTGGATTTCATCACCCTCTGAAAATGCCCCTTTGTCAAATCTGAAACATCCAAATTTCTTTTCTTTCTTTTTCTTTTTCTTTTTCTTTTTTTTTTTGCTGGGATTATATTCATCAGTAATTTTTCACTTTCGAAATTCTTGTGGATTCTATATAGTAGTGTAGCCTTTACAAGCCACATTTATGATATCATTTTGTCATAAATGGTGACTTTGGTAGGCTTTGGTGTGTTAATCAGATTTTTAAAAATCTTAACTTTTTAAAACACACTCTGATTTGCTTTACAAATATTTGCTGAATGTCTACTTTGTGTTGTAAACTGTCCTTGGCCCTGAAGATCCAGAAAAAAAGGAGAGAGGAAAAAATCTGTCCCTTTGGACAGAAATTCTGGTGGAAGACTGCTGATAATTTAAAAAAAGAAAGAAAGAAAGAAATGAAAATGAAAAAAAAAGAAAGAAAGAAAGGAAAAGAAAAGAAAAAATATGCATTCTGTCTAATTGTGATTGTTTTAACTATAAAACGTATCTATTTCCAACAGTGTCGAAAAGGCGCGGAGAGGATGCGGAGACGGCCAGGTAGATGAAGCACTAGACGACACACACGGGGATGCGGGACAAGGAAGCTTGGCGTTCAGACCGTCAGGCCACCAGACACACATCTCACCTCCGGGGCCGCCCTTTCTCTGGTACCCTCATTATCTTTAGTAAAATTTCTATTTGAAGGCTTTATGCCACTTTTTCCACACGTCTGGTTTCTTCTTCTTTCCTTCCTTTGAAGAAGGGGACAAAGAAGGTAGGTGTCACTGCTGAGGATTAAGAAATGAAGTCAACATGTAATCCTAATTTTACATCGGAGAGGATATTTCCCAGGTGTGAAGTGACTGCAGCAACAGCAACGTTGAATAACTGCAGCAAAATTAAGTTTCTCAAACAGAAAACACACGTCTCCTGGCCCGTACGGGGATCGAACCCGCGACCTTGGCGTTATTAGCACCACGCTCTAACCAACTGAGCTAACCGGCCACTGGCAGGAAGCTATCCCTTATTTAAGGAAGTAAAATGGTTGTTGACCTTCTCATGTGTTCAGAATTAAAGGATAACCCCCTTCCCTTTCCAAAGAAGACCTTTTTGTTTAGTTTCTTTTAAGATACTAAAGGACAGGGAAAAGAAACTAAAGTGCAGTAAGAGGAGACTGAGGGACAGAGGAAGGGAGATCAGGGTGATGAGAAGGGGAGAAAGTCAGGAGCAGAGAGAAGAAATTAGATGTCCAGGTGCTGCATCATCAGGCCTCTAGACACGGACCCTGGCGTCCCTGCCTCGCGTTAGTGGCTCCTACGGACGCTTGACCTATCCTGAGAGAAGCGTCTGAAGAAACCTGAGCTCCTGACAAAAGGCTACAAATCTCAAGGCCAGCCCTGGGGACAATATGAAGATCTCTAGAGCCCTCTCACAGAGGACTGGACAGCATGACCGTGGGCCCTGCCCTGTGGCTGGGCCCTCTGCTCCTGGTTTCCCTCTGGGGCTCCTCAGCTCCAGGTAGGAGGAGCCCGAGGGTCAGGATGGGGTTTCTAAGGGGGCCTGGCTTAACTCTGTCCCCTCTGTGTCCTACAGCTTCTCTTCTTAGGCACCTCGGTGAGCACATTCAGCGGTTTCAGGAGAGCTCTGTCCTGAGCCTGAGTCTGGACCTGGGGGTTGCAACGCTCCCTAAAGAGGGTTGGCTGGAGCAGTCTCTGGACCCCTTCAACGTATCTGACAGGAGGTCCTTCCTACAGGTGAGGCCAGGAGAGGGGGATCCACTGCCTACCATGCCCTCTCTTCACCTCTCCACTCTGTCCCTCAGCCTCTGTGTTCTTCCCATCTCCACACCTCTGTCTTCCCACATCTCTGCCCCGCAGTCTCACTGTTGCTGTCAGTATACCTTATGGCCTTTAACCCAACCCTTCCGTGTCTTAGATGTGCCCTCTGTCCCCTATTCCCGTATCTCTTTCCTTAACCTCCTACTTTTTTTGCCCTCAGGTCCTGTCCTTCACCTCTCTCTCTGTGTCTGTCACTGCCCCTCAGTCCACTTTCCCCTATCCTTCAGATTAAACACTAAACCCACCACCAGGTCTCAATGTGTAGCAGAGATTTGGACTGGCTTTGGAACCAGCCCTGGCTCACAACAGATATGTACTGAATAAATAAAAAAACTTATCGTTTTTTACACCAACTCTCCAAAGGTCATCTCACCTAGGTGCAATTCCTAAATCCACCTGCACTTATTACTTATTCTACAATTATTATTTCAACATATAGCAGGTGCCTACCATGTACTCATGACTACCCTTGACCCTGAGATATAAGAGAGAAAAAGTTGACAGAAATATCTTCTCTTGTAGATTTTACATTCTAGGTGAGGAGACAACAGGAGGAAAATGAACACATAAATAAACAAGCCTATTTCAGATACTACTAAGTATATAAGGAAAGATCCCTCAGGGAGACACAGTGGGAAGAACAGGGAATAAAGAATAGGTCAGAACACTCACAATCCTATTTCTTCTTCCTCATTCCACCTCTTAGCGGTACTGGATAAATGACCAGCATTGGGTAAGCCAAGGTGGACCCATATTTCTGCATCTGGGAGGTGAGGGCAGCCTTGGGCCAGGCTCAGTGATGAGAGGTAAGAAGCAAAGGTGGGAAGACATAGCTGGGAAGCTGGTGGGGGCCGGGAAAGGGAGCTGTGTACTGCAGTACTGTGACACCTGAGGGCTTCAAGGTCTTACAGCCACCTCACACCCCCATTCCATACTCTTCACAGGGCACCCTGCAGCCCTGGCCCCAGCCTTGGGGGCCCTGGTGATAGGCCTTGAACACAGATTTTATGGCCTGAGTATACCTGCTGGGGGCTTGAATATGGCCCAACTTCGCTTCTTGTCTAGCCGCCATGCGTAAGCAGGGGTAGGGAGAGTTTGGGGTCATGGGACTGGACATGTCTGTGCCTCTATCCTCCACTGCTAGAAGATGACCTTGAGCCTTTAGTTCATGTTTTCTTCTGAATTTCTGTGTCTTATTCTTTCTCTCTCCACCTATGGGTCTCTGTCCCTCCCTATCTCTCTCCTACACTGTCTTCTTCTCTCGCCCTGTTGTGTGGCTACTGGTCCACATGACCTGGTCTCTTACCTGATGACACAGCCTTCTCTCTGGTCACCATTTCTGCCCTTGACCTCTTCAGTCTATTCTCCAAATGAAATCAGAGTGATCAATAGAGCAGATCACCATTCTTCCCACCTCAAATCCCTCACATCTCTCATCTCACTCACAGGAAAGTCAAATCTTTACAGTAGCCACAAGGTTTGACTGGCTCTGGCACTCAGTTAACTCTCTACCTCCACCTTCTCACACTCACTGGGCTCCAGCTGCACTGACATCCTTGCCATTCTCCAGACATACAGGCACATTGCTGCCTTGAGCCTCTAACCCCCACCCTACAGGGAGTGGGCTCCCCCACATATTGCACGGCCCCCTCCCTCACCTCCCTTGGGCATTCTATTCCTATTAACAACCCCACTGCTCTTCCCCTCACCTGTTCTGTTGTTCACACACTTGTCTCAGTCTCTCCTACTTGGTGTCTCTCTGTAACTGTTTGCAATCCTCTCTTTGCCTTTGTCTTACTCTTGTCTCCTTCTTCCTGTATTTCTGTCTGTATCCCTTTGCTTCTGTGTTACTCAGTCTCCCAATCTTTTCACAGGTTAATGTGGTTTCTGACTGCAATAGGATGGCACTAACTGCAACCCGTTTCAGAAAGGTTAGGGAGGAAAGGACGCACTTAGGATAGAAAAGAGGATGTTAGACAAGTCCCAACATCTCTTTTTCTCTCTAATTGTCTCCCCCTTCCCCCAATACTCTAACCTATCCAGCCTAGGACCCCTCCTCTTCCTGAAGAACTCTTTGTGACTGTCCCCCCAGCCCTTCTACATTTGTCAGGTTTCCGCCTAAACTGTCTTGAGATTTCTTTCTCTCCCACCTAATATAGAGGAAAGAAGGGTGAGGCTTTGCAAAGGTTCCCCTGGCCCAGAAATGGATGTGTGGATGAAATCTTCAGAAATACTTCATGAGTAAAGAGTTCTGACTTCTGGCCAGACCCCCCTTCCTGTACAGAGAAGGGATCTTCAGCGATTCCTGAGATGACCGACCAGCCTCCCCTTGACCTCAGGCTGGCCGACGTGGTCTCCACCCGCCTCGCGCTTTCCCGCCTCCTCAACGTCTCCTCCTCCAGCCCCTGGATCTGCTTCGGAGGCTCCTATGCCGGCTCCCTGGCCGCCTGGGCGCGGCTCAAGGTCCCGGGACTCCTCTGGGCGGACCCGGGGGTGGGTGGACTCGGGGTCCCCATCTCAGGCGATAGGAACAGCCTTTCCCCACACCCGCGCCCCAGAAGGGATTTCCACAGCTGTCTTCACAAGGGCTCGGTGCAGAGAGGGACTCGCCTAGGGCCGCACGAGGAGGGCGCGGCAGGGGTCCCAGCTCTCGCGCCGCCTGACAACTTCTCCTCCCCAGTTCCCGCATCTCTTCTTCGCCGCGGTCGCCTCCTCGGCCCCGGTACGGGCCGTGCTGGATTTCTCCGCGTACAACGAAGTAAGGACGCGGGTGGGGCCCGGGAGGACCAGTCTCACGGTCTGGGTACCTCATGCGCCTCTTCTCCCGCGTTCGGACCACAGGTGGTGTCCAGGAGCCTCACGAGCGCGGCGATCGGCGGCTCCCCGGAAGTAGGAGTGGGCCAGCCCGAGGGCTGGGGGGGGAGAGGCTTTCAAGTTGGGGCCAAGGAAAGGGCGCAGCCTGGAGGTGGCGGGGTCTGGGGAGGTGGGAGCCCCTAGATTCTAAGAAGGCTGGAGCTGAGGCTGGGTCTGGACACCAGAGGGGAAGAGCTTCAACGGGGGCGGGGCGGGGGTGGGCGGGGCCTTCAGAGATGACCCTATCCGAAGGTGAAGCTCGGTGTGGGGCGGGGCCTGGGGGACATTCCCGAGGCTGTGCGGACCAGGGTCGGGCCTGGGGCAACCGAGTTCGACCCCGGGGGGAGGAGGGGCTTGGGAAGTCGGGAGCCCAGGAAGATGCTGCTCTTGGAAGACACAGCCCGGGCCCGGGCCCTGGTCTCCGCCGACTCTGCCTCTCGTCCCCGCAGTGCCGGGCAGCAGCGTCCACGGCCTTCGCGGAGGTGGAGCGGCGGCTGCGCGCAGGAGGGGAGGCGCGGGCGGCGCTGAGGACTGAGCTGGGCGCGTGCGCGTCCCTGGACAGCGCCGAGAACCGAATGGAACTGCTGGGGGCGCTGCAGGCTCTGGTGGGGGGCACAGTGCAGTATGACGGGCAGGCGGGGGCTCCGCTGAGCGTGCGACAGCTCTGCGGACTCCTCCTGGAGGGCGGGGTCAATGGCAGCAGCCCAGTGCCCTATCGCGGACTGCGTCGGGCTGTGCAGGTGAGCTCCGCTGAGCACCGCTGCAGGGTCAGGAGACAAGGGCTCCTGCTCACCTCCGCTGTGCGATCTTGGATAGCCGCGAACCCTTTCTGAGCCTTATTTTCTTCATCTGTCAAACGGGGATGACATAGGGCCGTGGAAGGGTGAAATATTCACACACTATGCAAAATTAGCAGCTATGCTATCTCTTTGCCTGTCTTGCTTTGTTTTCTTAGGGCCTGCAACAGTGGCACACAACAAGTGTCAAATTAGTATTTATAGACTGAATGAAAAAAATGTAGCCAGCCCTGAGTACCGAGTTCTCCAGGAGACCAGAACCCCCATCTTTGGAATCCACAGTTGCAGTCCAGATGTTGCTTTTACAGCACTGTGTGCACCAAGAGCTGTAGGAAGTGCTTGACATATATTATTTCATTGAATTCTCACAGCAGTTCCAGGAGATAGGCACTATTATTATCTCCATTTACAGATGAAGAAGTTGGGGTCCAATGTATTATCTCTTGCCCAAGGTCTCACAGGTAATAAGATCCCAGTCATCTAGTACTTTAACCTCTAACCCACAGGGACCCAGGCACCCCTGACTTCCAGGAGAACTCAGGAACTCCCTCTGCTGACTTCTGACCTTTGATCTGACCTATGCTTCCAGGCCCTGGCTTGCTGGGGGGGGAGGGAAGAAAGTTATGAAAGTATGTATGTATGTATGTATGTATGTATGTATATTGTCCCCTAGGTTGTCATACACAGCCTGGGCCAGAGGTGTTTAAGCTTTTCCCGAGCAGAAACATTGGCACAGCTGAGGGTCACAGAACCCCAAGTGTCTGGCGTGGGTGACCGCCAGTGGTTGTACCAGACATGTACTGAATTCGGCTTCTGTGAGTGCTTGGCCCAACCCTCACCTCTGATAACCTTTGAAAAAGCCTATTGAAGTGATAGGTCATAGGCAACACGCATTTATTTGAGATCAATAAGAATACCTACATGAGAAGCACTGATTCAGGCAGAAACCCAAATAGTTTTCCAATTAGGAGACAAAGGCAATGGGTATTTATGAGAAAGGGAAGGAAACAATTACATCAGTAGAAGGAAGGCATTTATTTCTATTAGTGCAGATAGCTAACATTTTAAATAAATATTCTTAATTTTTTTTTAATTTTCAGCCCAATAGACATCAGTCTGATAGTCATAATATCTGCTTTCTTGTTATCCTTGCAAATACTAATTTTAAATCCTTCAATGGTTGAGTAGTCCAGTTAGGTGCAAGAATCTTTCTTTAAATTGGAAACATGACTCTAAGAGTCAACATCTTAAATTTGGTTACTTGTGGATTAATTAAGAGTACTTGAAATTCTGGACAGATTAGGTAGAAAAGAAAAAAATATTTTCATTCTGCTTACAAAGTTATAATTTACCAAATTGTTGTAGGTCATGGGTAGCTTAGGAAAAAATAAAATTCTTATACCTGGAAAATAGATAAAAAACCTAGTAATATTTCATATAAAAATCATAGTCATCTTTGTCAGTTCATTTAGTACCATGTTATTAATTTGTGTTGATATTTATATTTTTGTTATCAGTTTTATGATCCAGTTTTCCTTAGAGTTCTGTAAATCTTTACTTACTTCAGTGTTATGTTTTTAAAGTTATCATCTCTTTGAAGATGAAACATATTCATAGGGACATTTTTCCCCAAAACATCAGGGTAAAACAATAACTTCCTATAATAATAAAAGACTTAAAAATGGCCGTGGTTAAAGACCTGGTGAGAGTTCACATACATACATATAAGTAATGCAACAGACTTAGTTACCATCCCAATCTTAATTAGTTTGACCATATATACAATTATTTTCTCAAGATCCCTCCATGAACTTTCTGCAACTTATACAAACCTGCAACTTACATACACCTTTTTGTTTTTGTTCTTTTTTCATATTTTTATTTTTTCATCTTATTTTAGAACAAAATTACTTTCATTTTCCTTTCTTTACCAAAACAACAACAAACCCATGTCTTTTATTTCCTTCCTTATCCAAAAACACATTCTATTTTCTTTTCCCTCAACCAGATGCATCTCCATGCTTCATACCTCCTTTTACTGAAAGCATTTGTTTAATCCCATCACAGCCCTTTAATTCCGTCTATCACCGTCTGGAGTGAGGGAGGTTTTTCTCTGATAGAATGTGAACTCATTGGTCATTATTGGGGAGAGCTCTGTAAATGATTATTGAAGGAGACTGGAGAGTTGGGTTTATACTCCACAGTTATAGATATCTCCCTTCACAGATGTCACCTGTGAGGACCCTGGATGTCCTTTCTCCCAGCTCCCAGCACTGCCCTCCCAGCTAGAGTTGTGTGAACAGGTTTTTGGGCTTTCAACTTCATCCATAGCCCAGGCTGTGGACCAGACAAACTCCTACTATGGTGGCCAGACCCCAGGGGCCACCCAGGTGCTGTTTATTAATGGTGAGCACGCCATCAGAACCTGACCCCCAAAGTCTCCAACTTGCCCCAGCTCAGCACACCATTCTCTGCTTTCTCTGCAGGAGATACAGACCCCTGGCATGTGCTAAGTGTAACAAAGGACTTGGGAGTCTCGGTATCAGCCCTTCTCATCCCTGGTGCCTCTCACTGCTTGGATATGGCACCTGAGAGGCCCTCAGACTCCCCCAGCCTCCTCCTAGCGCGCCAGGTAAAGCAGAAAAAGATCTGACTGATTTACATTTCATTTGCATATATTTTGCATGGTCCTGCCCTCACTAGTGCTGGGGTCTGACTTTCAAAATTCTCCCACCCCTTTACAGAGCATATTCCAGCAGCTGCAGACCTGGCTCAAGCTGGCAAAAAAGAGCCCAGTTAGGGGTGGGGTCTGAGCCCCACACCCTGGACACTCCCTGAATGGCCACCTCTGGCCAAGATATATTTGTTCACTGGACAGGAGAAAGTGGCTTATTTAGAAAGAGGAAGTTCCCAGGAATTGGGATTCAGCACCTGTTCTGCATATAACTGACTTGTGTCTGCAACCATCCTCACTCCTAACTAAAACTGCTCTGTTACAAAGAATTCTGTAAATATAAGTGGATGAGTATTCTCATTGTTGGTATTTTAATGTCAAATATCAGGGAAACGCCACTCTTCATGCTGGTGCCCTCCCCCTGCTAATCAGATTCTGGATGAAATTCTGCTCAGCTCCTAGGCTGAGCATCTTCCGCATGTCTCTCTGGACCTCAGGCTCTGCCCTGTCTGCTTCTCACCCTTCTCTCACTGTGCCCCTCTTCCTCAGTCTCTTGCTCTCTATCTTATCCACTTCTGTTTGTCTCAGTCTCCCCCTGTTTCTTCAAATATCTTCATTTCTTTCTCTGTGTGTCTTAGTCTGTTTCTGTTTTGTTTTTTTCTGTCAATGTCTTTCTACTCTCCTCCTCTCTTGCCTGCTCTGCCCTTGGTTATCTCCACTGCTCTGTTTCTATTTCTCATTTTTGGTCTCTGTGTCACCTTCTCTCTTTCTATCCCTGCCTCTATTTCCCTTTCTCAGATTTCCCCGTGCTCCGCTGCCTTCTCAATCTCTCTGTCTTCCTGAGGCTCTCTCTGTTTCTCTCTCCTATGTTCTTCCTCCCTCCTCTATTTCTCTTCCATTCAGTTAATTTTTGTACTTCTCTGTCTGTCTCTCTTTTAGTCTTACTTCTAAACCTGCCACTCACCAAATTTTCCCACAATCAAATGTCACTCTCTGGTACTTCCAGCTCCCAACTGTAGGGATTTAGGGCTCTGGTGAAGCCTTCCTGATGAGGAAACGCCCAGGTTCTGAGAGGATGAACCCAATACCAAGGTTCTCTTAGCCTGGCTCAGCTGTACCCCACTGTGAGCAGCAGCCACCAGAAGCAAGAAGTCACAAGTCAGAGAGCTGGGAAGTAGGGGACAAGGAAGGTCAAGTCAGGAAAACCAGTTTGGTAAGAGAAGCCACAACACTCTTTCTCCTCAGAGGAAGTCATGCCCTGCCTCTCTTGACTCCAGCTCCTCAGGAGTAACATTTTTTTCTTCTAAAGCCTAGTTTCAGTGCCTCCCTTTATATACTCACCATGTCCACCATGGTCTGATACATGGGTCTTCAGTGTCAGCTGAGTATGGAAGAGTGTGGTCTAACCTCAATTCTTGACATCTCTTGGTCTCTTTCCTGCTTTGCTGGATGCACTTTTTTCTCAATCTCCTTTGCAACCCCCCCCCCACACACACACACACACTCACACACTTAATTGTATGCATGTGCCACAGAGATGGAAACCCAGGCCACTCACACATCCCTGGCTGACTAAGCCTGTGCACATACTTGGAGGAGTTACAATCTATTATCTAAAATATCAAATATTAACAAAAAAGTATGAGACATGCTAAGAAACATGAAAGTGTGATCCTTACATGTAGAGGGAGGACAATAAAAACGGTCCTTGAGAGGACTTAGATGTTGAACTTAGAAGACCAAGATTTTATGTCAGACAGAGAAAGACAAATACCATATGATTTCTCTTATTTATATGCAAAATCTAAAGAACAAACTAAATGAAAAAACAAATCAGAAACAGACTTATAGACACAGAGAACATTTTGACAGTTGCCAGAGAGGAGTGGGTTTGGGGGACTGGAGGGAAAAGGTGATGGGATTAAGAAGCACTATTTATTATTACAAAATAGTCATGGGGATGTAAAGTGTGACATAAGAAATATAGTCAGTAATATGGTAAAAATCTATGTATGGTATCACATGGGTACTAGATTTATCAGGGTGATCACTTAAGTTATATAAATGGCTAATCACTGGGTTGTATGCCTGAAACTAATGTAATATTGGGTGTCAATTGTAATTGAAAAATAAAAATTATTTTAAAAGAAGACAAAGATTTTAAAGGAACTATTATAAATATTTTCAAACAACTAAAGACAATCATATGTAAAGAATTGAAGGAGAATATGATGACAAATATCAAACAGAAATATCAATAAAGGAATGGAAATAATAATTAAAATACAAGTGAAAAATGTGAACTTGAAAAGTGTAATGACAGAAAGGAAATATTCACACCATATTGGAGCTAACAGAAGAAAGGACTGATGGACATGAATGTACATCAACAGATATATCTAATTTGAAAAAGGAACAGAATTTCACGGATCTATGGGATACCATTAAGTGTACTACCACAAAGAGGATACAGGGATATATATATATATATATATATATATATATATATATATATATATATATATTTGTAAAAGAAATGGCCCAAAACTTTTTCCATTTTGATTAAAAATGTCAAGCTATACATCCAGCAGATTCAACAAACACAAAGAAACATAAACACAAAGTACTACACTTAGATGTACTCTGTTGAAATCTAAAGACAAAAAGGAAATATTGAAAGTAGAAAATAGCAATGACTTATGAGGTATCAAGGAAATGCAATAAAAAAACAGCTGACATTTTATCTTAAACAATAGACGTTGGAGATCTCAGTGCTCTGTGTTGGGTCCTAGCACCTTGAGATCAGGGAGGGAGATGGATTTCAATTCCTTAAAATCCAGTCCCCAGGAAAAGGAATTTGGAGTTTTGTTTGATTATGAGTCATCGAGTTTCTATTTTTTTTATTTTAACAAATAAAAATGTGAGGAAAACAAATGCACTCTAAATAAAAATATACTAAAAGAAAAATCATTCAAAATTATTAGCTTTGGGGGCGCCCACAAAATGAGTATGCAATTCTTCTATATATTGTAAGGCCAAATGAGAGCACAGTGTTTCTGTAATGTAGTGGTTATCACATTTGCCTAACACATGAAAAGTCCCCGGTTTGAAACCCGATGGAAACAACACTGGTTTTTAGAGTGCTCTGGGCATTTTTTTCGATAAATGTCTAAGCCTTTAGGGGTTCATTTTATCAGCCCTGGCACTTCGTGCAAATGATGTCTAAGAATATAAACAACTCTAAATTGATCAAATTATGTTTACAAATTGGATCCTTTTCTCTTACCATTGTACTTTAGTAGTTCTTTATGCTGTCTGTATCCAAGACATTTTGCAATATATGTATTAGGAATATCTTCTTTCAGTCTGTGGATGGTGTTTTCTCTCTCTCTCAATGGAGTCTTTTGATGAAAGGGGTATTCAAGTTTTATGATGTCCAGACAATCCATTTTTCTTTTATGCTTAGCGCTTGTTATGTACTACTGTCTACAAAATGTTTGCTTATCTCCACACCATGAAGCGCTTTTCTGATTATTCTTGAATAGGATTTATTGTTTGCATTTTTGCTTTTGGTCTGTGTGCAAATGACTTGAACAGACACTTCATGAAAGACAACCAAATGGCCAGTAAGAAATTGAGGTGTGTGCCATACCATAATTTAGATAGATAGATAGATTAATGGATAGGTAATAGACAGTTCATGATGGATAGATAGATTAGATAGATAGGAGGTAGATAATAGATAGCTGGGTGAAGGATAGATAGATAGATAGAAAGATAGATAGATAGATAGATAGATAGATAGATAGATAGAAAAAGGAAGGAAGGAAGGAAGGAAGGAAGGAAGGAAGGAAGGAAGGAAGGAAGGAAAAGAGGGAGGGAGGGAGGGAGGGAGGGAGGAAGGGAGGGAGGGAGGGAGGAATAGACCTAAGACCGACTCTCAACACAAGGCAGAGGCATTCCAGGTGCGGGGACCTGAGCCCAACCCTTGATTTCAAATCGGGGCTTTCCAGGTGTAAATACCCGAGTCCAACCCGCATCTTGAGATCTGAGCTTCTGTGATGGAAGGACCTGAGCCCAACCAGGGCTTCCCAGGCGCGGGACCTGTGCCTGATCCTGTCACGTGGCCGAGGTTTTTTCAGTGCTGCGGCCACTAGCTGCCAGAAATCAGCTGGGCACCGAAAAGTTCGGCCTCAGTGGGTTCAACTTTTAGTTCAATTTAGCACAGAACAGTTCCGGTTGGGATTGCAATGCAGCGTGGGTGGGTTTACTTGGGATTGAGACAAGTGTGCGAGACAGACACACGGGGAATCCGGCGTTTGGACCTCGCAGGCCGGGTGTCGTGACAGCCAGCTGTTCCCCTCGGACATTTCCAGGAACTGGCATCCGACTCAGTTCCAGGTGTACTTCCAGCAGGCGGTGGTCGCTGGGTTGGAAGGAAGGAGCCCGACGCTTCTAGGAGTCAGGACCGTGGACAGCGTGCCCCGAATTATTTTTTTTTTTTTTTTTCCGGGGTCGAGGGAAGGATTTCTCCGAAGTGAGAGAGGAGAAAATGGTTAAACGGTACATTTAGGTGGTGATGTGTGTGTTTTGTTCACAAATTTTCAATTTTTATAAAAGCATGAATTATGCAATACATTCTTTCTGCTTGATTGAATGCGAGCTGTAAAATGGGCTACACATCAGGGAAATTCTTCTTCATCATGACTACCGGTGTGTTTGCATTTGCCACGGAACTGGGATTCTGGCTGGGGGAGCCGCATCTCCCGGACTCCCTACCGAGACCACCAATTTTGTCCCCAGAGGACTAAGGAGAATCACAGGATCCGAATTCCTGTGAGTTTTCTCAAATCGTTTGGGAGAAATTTAGCTCTTTTATACTTAGAAGAGGTCAGATCAGATCTCAAATTCTTTTGTGTACTTTGAGACGAAAAAGGGATACGAAGCAGAAACTGTTTTTTTATAAAAGAGCTATCAATTACCTACATATTTTATAACCCTTTTATTATGTAATCCTTAAGATGATGGCCTGAGAAATCCTCTCCTTGGCTGCTGTTCTGTTTTCAGCTTTATTTCACACTTCACAGCACCTTTCTCTTCAACCACACTGTCTGTTTGCAGTCTCTCTAAGTTACCATG